TATTTCAAGCTCAAAGGGAAATATCAAGTCGACATATGAATGGAAATTACAATACCTTATCTTCGATATATACAAGTATCTAAATGTCGAGCTGAAGGCCACAGAAAGTTTTATTTTTCTTCTCATGTATATAAGACTTTGAATTAATTCTGCTTCACAGGAATACAATTAAAGTCTGCTAATTATGGAACCCACTGGAATTCCAGCAGATTGAAGGTCTGGTCTAAAAACAACAACACAAAAATGTTGTCAATTAGAAATAATATTAACTTCAGAATACTTGTGCAATCAGAAGTGTTATTCAACAAGAAAATCATTTTTTAAACGAAATCTAATAATATCAGAACATCTCGAAACACAAAATGCATCTAGACCCACTTTCTTGAAGCATGTATGATAAACTATTCTCCTGAAGTCGCTTGTTTTTCAGACAATGTCTATAAACTGAAGAATTCGGTTTATGATTTCAATTATATGGCGAACTAATCATATGTAAATAATCCTGTCAAAATTTTAATTTATATCTGTTTTTCATTTAAAAGTCGGATTGGGATGGTCAAAATGAGTGACTTGAAAGTAAACCTTACATCTATCATTGCTATCCCTAACCACGGAAAGGACATAAAAACAACAAACGCCGTCGTAGGTCAGCCCCTTTTCTCTTAGAAATTCACTTGCACTGAGGCTTCAGCTTATTTGAATTTCAAATTTCGTTTTATGCTGCTTTTGCAAAGAATTATTAAAGGTGACCTCTATGAATTATGAATAAAGGTTAGAGCTGGATATGCAAGCAACGTTATAGATTTCGAAGACGTTCACCACAAATACGTACAATGGAAGATTGCAATTTGTAATTCTAATTATCAATTTTTTTCCACGCTTTACATTTTATTGCCAAAGTTTAGACTCACACAACATGGTGTTTATTTTCAAATTATGTTCGGTCTTTTGTAAGATACCTCACATCCATTAGGACGTTTTGCATTGTAAATGTTTCTACTAGTAAATGCTTTTTTTTGTTAAATTACCAATTTAAGTTAGTAATTTTAACAAATACTAATATTCAAGAATTTTGGATCTGTCCTGACTTTTTTTTTTGAATTGCATATATCAATATACATTTTAAAATATTACTTATTGACACAATGCTTTAATTTCAATTTAAATTTTCATTTAGAGCAAAATTGATTATTATATAGAAGACATTCAAAAATTTACTAATTTTTTATGTTTAGTTTAAGGAAAATAACATTTAGGTTTCAAAGAATTGCATTGTTTATAGATGTTTTGAATTAAATCATTGTTGGTTATCGTCACCTTTTTTATTTGTTTGCGTCAACATCTTTTTTTTTTCTTTACACTATGACGCTGTATTAAAAAACCGTTTTATGCTAACCATTCCAATAACAAATATTAAAAAATGAAAATAAAATGCTTAAATAATGTTTAAAATGACGCTCGTTTTTAAAGAGGGATCCGGGACCATTTTATTTAAATAACAAGGTCATCTAAAGGTCAACACCTTTTTCGTTCTCATCTTGAAAAAAAATATTGTTGTCAATTATGTTATGCCTTTTTTTTTTATAGATATTATTTTTAGGGGGAGGGGACATTGAAAGATTTTACAATATAGGACTTTTCAAACGTTACCAATAAATTTTCATTAATAATATAAATTAAATGGATATAAGTTAATTCGAATTTCCTCTGTTTTCCTTTATTAAGGAATATACGTTATTTCTCATAGATCTGAAGAGGACTTCAGGTTTATGTTATTTCATGTGCTTTGTATATTAAAATTTTTCTTGTTGTCAAATATGTTAAGATAGTCATATAAAGATACAAAGTTTTAAAAATACGTTTTTACCGTTTAGTCAGAAAAAAGACTTTTTTTTACTGATTTTTTGCTCAAATATGTACTGATCATTAGAGAAAGATTAAAGATTTTTTGAAAATCAATATATACACTTACTATAAAGTTAAGTACCATCACTCTTTTTGTGAATTTTTTTTGAACATTTCATTAACACAGACCTATCCAATTAAATATTTCAATTTTCGTTTTAAAATCTAAGTAGATCTATACTTTCCTTAGTCAATGCATGTTTCGAAATCATCTGATAATTAATTTGTTTTATGCAATTGACATTTTCCAAAGAAAGGAATATAAGTAAAAAAAATGAAGAATTCAAAGTTTCACTTTAATTTGTTTTTGACAAAAGTTGCTAGCAATAAGCATGTTTAACATTATTGGCATTTAATGAGTCATTAATTTTCAACATTTTATAAGCATGGATATTTAATAATGTGTATATCCACCACGACTTTTGTACAGTTCTTTCACACGCCTTCTCATACTGTGGTCAAGTCGTCGTAGCCGATTTGGGGGAACTGTCTCCATTCCTGAATTAAAGCGTCTCTCAATTCCTGTACGTTTTCACATCTTGGGGTCCTCTGATTGATTCTACGACCAAGATAATCCCACATATGTTCAATTGGATTCATACCTGGGGACATGGCGGACCAAGGCATGGTTTCAATGGCTTCTTGGCTGAGATAGTCTTGAACTATTCGGGCCCGATGAGGTCTAGCGTTATCATCTATGAGTACAGGTCGAATTGCTAATGAATGATCATCGAAATGAGGCACAACTAATGGGCTTAGTATGTTGTCCCTATATTTTTGAGCAGTTAAGTTGCCATCAAGAAATTGCAGCTTCAGTTCACATCGCAAAGAGAAGCATCCCCATACTGTTACACCGCCTCCACCAACGGCCTTCATTCCCAATACATGCTGTTGTTTGTATGCAGAGTTTGGATGTCTCCATAATCGAACCATGCCGTCTACTGGGTGAAGCAAGAATCGGCTTTCATCTGACCAATGTATTCTCTGCCATGACCGAATGTTCCACCTCCTATGCTGCTTCTTTGTGTCTCTGGGATAAGAGTGGACGTTTTATTGGCCGACATGGTCGCATTCGTTCTTTGTTAAACCTCCTGTTGACTATGCTTTTACTGATTCGAGCTTGGGTGTTCTACTTGCTTCTCAGCGTGTTTGCAGTGTCAAAAGGACTCCGTTTAGCAAGTCCTTTTAGAAGTCTATCTTCCCTTTCTGTGGTCTTTCGGGGTCTTCCAGATCTTGTTGCTTCATTCACAGAAACAGTTCTTCTCCAGCGCTGTACCAGACGCAAAATTACGGTTTGACTGACATTAAAGTGATCGCCAACCCTCCTATACGTCATTCCAGTTCTTACCATTCCAACAGCCTGCCAACATTCAGCATCCGATAGTTTTTGACGAGGCATGGTTGCACAAAACTTGTAACTTTTTTCCCTATCAGTTAAGCTCATGCCAACATTGACGTGAATACAATTGAAAACTGCATTGTTCGAACACGCATGGATAGCCTTAAAGAAACCGGATTTACAAGTATTTGAATAGAGACATCCAGGTAACATAAAAAACAAATAATAAATAAGCGTTTGATTGGCTAGTAAATCTGAAATTATTCAATCAAAAATATTTTTTTACTTTCAATTGTCATATCAAAGTGAGTGGTCATTAACTCTTGGATAAGTGTTTGTATCAATACTTAATAAACTTAAGAATCAATGTTTCGTACGCGTAGCACATTTGTTTGAGCGTCTGCTCTAGAGTCACGGAGTAAAGAAGTGATAGTTCGTTTCTACTTTGGGACGCGTGGAGACCGGTCCTGCGGATGAATCCGTATAAACTGAGGTTCCATGTCGCAGTAGTTGTTGACAAAAATGACTCAATGCTCAATGCCCATGAGTGCCAAGTTTAAGTATACAAGTATTTGCAGCCCTCCACCTCCATAAATGTGGGAATTAGTTTAAACTTTATAATCCCCAAAACACATACAAAATTGGAAATATTCTTGAAATTTTGAATTGTTTTCAAAATTTTTATTTAATTTATTGTTCTGTAAAATTACAAATAAAAAAAAACGTAAATTGAGATTTTTCATTAGCCACGTTTTCACCAAATATATTCCATTAAAGATTTTGAACTCAGTTTATCATTCATATTTGAATTTTTAAATTATAAAGAGAAAAGAAATAAATTACATTTTTAAAAATCAATTACATCTAAATATATATATATATATATATATATATATATATATATATATATATATATATATATATATATATATATATATATATATATATATAAAAATATTAGAAATTATATTCTGAATATTTTTTAGTCAGGATCCAGACAATAATCCCTCTTTAACCTCTCAAACAAAAATTAAGTTTTTTAAACAAATATTTCTTTCTATTAGTTATCCTTTATTATCTAAAATTTTTAATGACTATTGCAGTTTATTGTTAAGTTTACACTATTCGTAGAATGATTTCAGTGATTAAATTTCAAATATTTTTATGACTTTTTGGTATGCATTTTCGCACCATCTGCTATGCTAGTCTATTTACATGATCGTGTTGCTATGTTAACGAAAAATCTAGTGCAGATATATAATTCAAATTCATATCTCTAATTGAATTGTGTATATATGAATAATTTCATAAATTATTATTAACACATTTGCAATATCTAGTTTTAAAAACCTGAATGAGAATTACAATACATTGCAACATAATCTATTCAAAAATTATACAATAGAAATAAAGTCATGTTATCTTTAGACTTTTAATGTTGACGTTCTTAATAGAGCATAAAATTGAATCTTAAATGCTCTTTTGAACGATGATGTGCCTAGAACAGGCGTGGAAACTGTGATTGACACATTATGTACCGTGTACTGGTCAGCTCTCTCTTTGTTACCTTTTGAGATTATAAAGCAAATATTCATTATGCAAAACGTACATAGGAATTGTATATTCTCCTAACACGTTGGTTTAACATTATTTGACAGGACTTTGTAGCAACAACGTACTTGTGTAATTAATTATGTACATGGAAATTTTCTTTTAGAAGTTATTATTATAAACTGTACTTGGATGTCGTGTTGTATATAAGGTGCTCTGCAACAGTTTAATAAAACGTGTCGAGAAATGTGTTCGAAGACTTTAGAATGACTGCATTCAATTCATCTTTGATTGACGCATTACTTTAATTAACATAATGTTGTAAAACAATATAGAATACACATAAATTGAGCAGTGATGGATGACGAAGATCTCCAGAAAATCAAGGTTTTGCCAACTGATCAGGAAAAAGAATTCGGGTCTGTCTGGCGAAAATGGATCACACGTAAAATTTCAGAGGAGAAAAGTGTCTCAAGAAAACCAAAGTGGCGAACCTTATTAGATTCCCACCTGAGAAGAAAGCTCAGGAAACCCGAAACTGAAAATTCTCTGGATTCAATTGAAAAACAAGTTGACCCTGTTGAAAATGGATCTGAATTAATTAAAAAATCAAATATGTCTGAAAATATTGTGAATGATGGCGATGAGGCAATGGATCATCATGATTACATTCACGAAAAACTTAAAGGAAATTTACCCAATCCAGTAAAAGTGATCCCTAAGTTTAATAGAACGTTCTCTTTACCGGAAGCTGGTATGAATTTGTCTAGTCCCCTTGTTGAAAATGTGTATATTCCAACGAAGGATTATTGTCCATACCTTGACAAACCTCCGAGGAAAAAACGAATTAACAGCGATCCAATCGATGACGGTGCCAAAAGTGTTCCCATTGTGACCGACGATATACAGGATAATCCAATAGTGATTCCTGAAAAGGATTACTGTCCCTATCTAGACAAGGCACCCCGTCCTCAAGTGAAGCAAAATGATTTCGAGGTTCGAAAATGGATACTGAAAAATGAAGCCGGGGAAGACGAAGAACTTCAGGTGTTCTTTCAGGATAACACATCCTTAAAGGATAGGAGGATTTCTGTCGGAAAAAACCTGGCACCAAGATCCAATTCTCTTCCCGAAATTTCTTTTACACGCGATAAGCCACCAAAATGGATGGAACTCGTAGATATGAAGTTAGGATTCGGAGATTTTCCGGAGGATATTGATAGCATTGTGGAATCTACTCCGGAAACAGAAATAACTGAAATAAAGAATAAACCCAATGATGCTGTCGATCAAGAAGTCTTCAAGGTAAGATAATCATAACTATTTTATTGCCCAAAACAGAATAACATAGATTGTATTACATGTACAAGCAAAGCAAATACAGTTTTGTGATAAATGTTATTAAAGGTATTCAGTAAGAATAATCTGTAAATTTATAGATTTTCTAATCGCAGTGTCCCAATGATTCTTATTAATAGATAATATCAAGTTATGAAAAACCCATTGCTAATTAGAAGTGAAAACTAGATTGAATGACTCAGGATAGACATGGAATATATTAACATAATTTAATAATCAATGAACAATATTTTTCTATTCTCTTTTGAAAGGTTTTTTGTTAGCCACCATTTTATGTATCAAAACATGTGCACAGTAAAACAATTGTAAAAAAAAAAAAAAAAAAAAAAAAAAAAGCCATGTAAGTTTAAAGATCCAATTTTTTGATATTATAATATTACAGAAATTTCTTTATATATTAACCCTATTTTTTAAAAAAAATTGATTTATTGAAACTGATAGTATTTTTAAATCGACTTTTGTCAATAAAAATGTGTTTATCTTAAGTCATCTGGTTATGTAACAAATAAACAAAGCTTAGTTCTACTCACAATTTTCTTAGATTAAAAGGGTTAAAATAATAAACAGAGATCGGTCTTAAAAAAATCCACAATCAATGTATAAACAAGTACCCCCGGAAATTTCAAAGCGAGGCTGGTGTGATCTGGTGCCCGAGAGGAGTAGACATCCCCTTTGATGTAATTTCAATTAAACTGCTTTTATCTGTAATCGATTAAATAAATGAATTCACAACGATCAAATGTTATTGAATAAATTATTGTTTATTTTACAAATGTAATCATTGTTTAAATGAATTACAATTAAAATTGTTGGTACGTTTTGTAGCGAAATAATTATCATTTTATGATATGAGTCCATGTATTAATTTGACATATAAATTTCACAAAAGCATAAACTGAACTAAGAAGCAGTAAATCACAAGTATAGAAAGAGAAACTAATAAATGATTCAATTTCCTTTTGCCGGTCTAAGTTTATGATTTTTTTTTCATTATTGAGGACAATATCTTGCAGTGCTTTTAATTGGTTTTCATTATTCCCTGATGCTCACTCCTCCATGGCACCTGATCCCACCTCAGATGTTTTAGAGGCCCGTGTTTGCTCTGCCCCTGATTTGTATTGTTTTATGGACTTTTGATCTTGAATACTGTTCGTTATTTCCATATGTTTCATTCCATATGGTCTAGAATATTTAAAGGTTGATAGATAGATTAAGATATGGATTGTCTAAAATCATAGAATATTTGATAACATAGGCTATGTGTTTTACTAATCATTGCCTTTAGGTATATAAAATTAGATCAAGTGTTAGCAGGGATTAATTATGATGAATGACATCATTATCAAAATATGTATATCAACGAAAATAGATAATTATGTGACTGTGATACTCAGGTTAATGTATCGCCAATACTATAATGTTATCCTATACGTTTTTTGAAAGCTTATCTTTTAAATTAATTTTTAAAGAAAACTAGTCTTCTTTTCAGAATCTATTGACCCTATGTTATTTTATTCAAAGTTGGAAAATGTTATACTGTACCAAATATGTAAATGCATAGCATTGTTTCAATAATTTCAATAATTCATTTAAAAAAAATCAAAATGCCTATAAATTGCACGTGTTAATTTTAAATGAAAATGGAAAATGTTATTTTGAATAATAAAAATAAGGACTGTTGGCATATTTCAGAGTAAGCAATTTAATAACATTACTTAAATAATGGTTTAGCTAACTTACAATTGCTTCTTATTACATTGATGCCTCTTAGATAGCAAATTAATAATCATTTAGTTAAATGAGTTTATTTATTTTTCTAAGAATTGTTTTTAATGTAATGAAATGTAAATCACCATTTTTAATAGTTTTTTTCTCTTTAATATATAATTTAATTACAAATCAAGTATATCATAAATACGAAAATTAAATATTAGAAAAGTTATGTGACACGATTTGCACCGATTGATGTTCAGGAGATTAACATTCAAATTATTTGTATTGGTCCAATGGACTTTGGTATGTGATTACTTTTCTATATCTTCATTTTAAATCTAAAGTGTTGTGATTCATTACCAATTCAAAAACAAAATCTATTTGTGAACTAAATTAAAACCATATGACTCCGTGTTCGTACATTTCTAGCCATGTTATTTATTTGTGATAAATGTTTCTCATTAAATTATTATAATGATAGTTAAATGACTCTAAATGACCTCTTCAGCAATTTTATCTTTATATCTTTAACATTCGCAAACTGAACATCGTTTTATTTTTTCTCTGAATAGTAATTTAGTTTTATCAATTTATTTCAACACACTAGAAATACACGAAATAATAATAGGCTATTAATTTGATTTACGCTTACAATGTGAACATGTTCAAGGCCCTTAAACATTTGACTTGACTAAATTATATTTTCAACCTGAATAGTATTTAAGATTATTCAATTTCTTCATTCAATGAATGCCTTTTAAAGCATTCGTTTTAAATGAAGGAGCATCACATTTGTTACACTTGGCATAATTGGATATGTGAAAATTTATATGAAAAAAGGTGCAGATAACGGACATCGATCGATCTCCAAAATTCTATGAACGATACAAATTTGTGAATATGGAATGAAACACGTACCTCTGGAAATTCACAGAGAGGGATAAGGTACCTAGGAGGAGTAAGCATCTCTCGTTGACCGCCTTGAGTTCTATGTAATTGTATTGATCAGCTAGACATAGCATTATAGATTGAGAACTGAGTATTGATATTACAATAAAACATAACTCAAAAGTTTAAAAGTGTATTTTAGCTTAATATATACTGTTGCAAATTTTAACATTTTAGAAATAAAAGTTTTTGGCATTGCACTCCATGTAACTATTTAGAAATGAAGCATTCATTTGCGTTAGAAATAAATGATGAATTTAAATAAATAATTCATTAACTTTGTTTAGCACAAATTCATCATATACATTATCAGCCATATGTTTTCTCTTCTGTTCTCTTTACGTTTATTTTAATAATATATATACTTTAGATGGGTGTGAATGATCGACAGGGAATACTGCTTATCCATGGCCCCAGATCCTTCCTCTGTATTCAAAGCCCTTTTTGTTAAGGCTGTTAATATAATTTACATTTTTAGAATGATCACAGGTCAGTATCTTCAAATTCATAATCTATATTACCAAAAATACTTATATGCACATGTGATATATTTAAAGTAAGTATATGTTACAGCAATTTCCACAACCTCGTTTAAAGTCAGCATGCATTCTAACATTAGTTGACCGTTACAAAGACCCTGTTAGCAAATTAAACTTATGAATGGGACGTATTTTGCTGCCTTGTATTATACTATATGTCAGGCCTCTGGTCTATACAAGAATTGACGACTGTATCATTGTACCATGTATCATTGACCGATTCAAAGGGCTCACAGCGGATGTGATCGATCAACAAGGGATGCTCACACTTCTTAGGCACCTGATCTCATCTCTTATAATTCCAGAGATCCGTTTCTTATGCCTTCTTCACATATTGCATTTTATCTTTTTTTTTTAGATCTATAAATGTTTTCTTCACTGTTTACAGTTTTTAACGTAGAGTAAAATTGACTTGTAGCATATCTATTCTTAGTCTATTGTTTAGAGAAAACTTGGAAAACTTGGATGTGCTTTATCATCAATTTCACGAGAAATATAGTAAAAGTATAAAGAAGAGATAATAAAAAATAAAAAGGTATATAAAAATAAATAAACGATAGAAACTGAATGCAAAAAAATAACGAACCCCTGAAAAATTCAAAGATAGTATTTGGCATGGTATATACATGTATCTTTCTCGATACGTAAAAGAAAAAAAATCAAAGATGAATATTTTAATAAGTTTTTTTTAATTCTTGATGAATAGGGAATACGTGATCCATTTGATGTATTAAGATGTTACGTTTTGGATAAAAATGTAAATAATTTAAATATTCAAGACAATTCCATGACAGGCATGTCCCCTAGACTGACTTCAAACGCACTGATGCTGATGACAACTGGCGTATAGTGACCTTGGCTTTATGTCATACATTAACAATAAGGTCGCTGAGTAAAGGGATAAAAGAATCAGAAAGTTTGAACAATTGAATTTATTTTGTTTACCTTGAATTTAAAAGATTTTTTTATTCTATTATTATCAAGGTCGCGTCAATTGGGTTGTACGGTATGACCATGTTATCCGTTTTCGTCAAAGCGATCTATTCTGTTGTGTGTGATATTGTTTCCAACACAAATTGATGAGATTTTCGCTACTACATAATAATAAAACACTTTGCTATGAGTTAATGAAATGCTTATAAATCTTGATACTAAATAACTTGTTTTACCTTTTATGCACCTGGTATGTTATGAAACATATTCAAGATTGAAGCAGTAGCTAAGTGCATATTATTACTAAACGCTAAAATCCTTAGAAATACGTACATGGTGAACTCAGGGCATGGGCGTAGACCGTAAGAAAAGACGACAGTGACATAAATAAATTTTACAAAGTCTTCTGCAAAGTCTTGCAAAGTTATTCTATAGTCAGGCATTTTTCAAAGGTCAAATTGACAATTAAAGTTGAGAAAAAATGTTTATTCAAAGAAATCTTGCTGTTGTACGACGAGGAATAGTAAATACGGTATTTTAAAAACCTAGTTTTAAAGCTACTTGTACACTATGGCACCTGATCCCACGCCTGATGTTTTTTTTAACCTTGATAGTTGTTTAAATGGACTTCTGAGTATGAATGCTGTTCTATATTTTCAAATTATATATATATATATATTCGATATAACTTTTTATTATACCTCTGTGAATTTGTTCTATATAAAAATATGACGAATAAACATGCTATCTTTTCCAAACAGCCCCTACCGTGAAATAGTTTTTGTGCTATCTGCCCATGGTGAAATAGTCATC